CAGATTGGTTCTTAATAATATTTCTATGTTTTGATGATAACTATTATGAAATATTGTATTTAAGAATTATATATTCTAAAATTTGCTTGAGAGTTTTTACTGCAGATAGTAAAGAAATTAACACTCCAGAAGCAAATCAGAATTGAACTCAAGAAATTAGCTAGACTCTGTAGCGCCAGATGCATTAATTAGAAGATTCTGAAGCAGAAGCTCCAGAAGGATATGAAGCAGAAGCTCCAGAAGAACCTGAAGCTAGTCAGAAGCATCTGAAGCAAAGAAGAATTTTGTATGAAGAGTTTTTCAAAGCATAATTTCTACAGAAGATTCTGAAAGTACTAAAGTTGCCAGTACTGAAGTTCTGTCTCAAATATGCTCTGATCTTAAACACGCTGAAAGCACACCTGCTGTAGAAGACTCTGATTCAGCAAAGCTCTGATCATCATCAGAAGACTCTGACCCAATTAGACTCTAATGAATTTGCTGAAAACTGAAGAAGAAATATTCAAGTATTATATCCGTTGGAGTAAATCAAACGTCTCTTTCCTTATTTATGATAGACACAAGAACACATACAAAAAGGATTTTTCTGTGCTTTCTTCTTCTAGGAAAGGTCACTTGATGTAAAGATAAAAAAGCTCAGATCTTTTTGACACTCTTCTCAACGCGCAGCTCACCTTGGATCAGCTGCCTATAAAAGCAAGACTCCACCAAATTCTTCAGTTGACGTTTGCATTGAAAAGAAATCAAATATTCAAGCTCTCATACTTTCATATTCATTCTAAGAATTTATTTCATTGTTCTTAAACTTAAGAGAAATATCACAGTTGTGATAATAGTTTTTTAGAAGCATTCTTACTCTTGTAATAGTTTTACATTGATTGTAAAAGATTTCCTTAAGAGGATTCAGTTGGGATCAGTAGCTCTTGAGAAGACTAAGAACAGTTTGTTCTTAGGTGTTACTATTGTAATCTGTTTGATTAAATAATGGATTAAGACCTTGATTGAGAAAGGCAAATCACTCTAGGAAGGGTGGACTGGAATAGTTGAGTTCAACGAACCAGGATAAAAATACTTGAGTTTTTATTCTAAGTTTTAATCTTTCATACTTATTCAACCCCCCTTCTAAGTATTATCTCACCTTCATCAAAGTCCACCATAGATTTGGTGTTTATGTTAGAAGATTGTAAGATAGGTCTTGGAGTAAGGCTTGTAAAAATATCTAACATAGTAGAAAATCCTTCAAGGTGTGAAGGGACTAGATGTGCCCTTAACTTGGAAAGAGGAACTAGAATAAGTTTCTTGTGTCTTTTACTTTTCTGCACTTTTTTTTTTTGCATTTTTATTCTAAGTTCATTAGTGTTTTTCCAAAAAAATAAAAATAAAGTAAAATCATAAAAATAATGAGAAAACTTCATAAAATCTAATTCACCCCCGCTTTTAGGTTGCATTATGTAGTTACAAGCTAGAGTAGTCAGTTCTTCCTCTAGGGAAACCCTAGGAAGATTTACCAAATATGTACAATCCTTTTTCCAAATGAGGGATCCATTAATATCCGGAGGAATGAGAGCTTGTCCAGGAGACCAGTAGTGGGCGGTTGGCAGCGACATAAAAGTATTCAGAGCAACGTCACTCTAGACCGACCATATTATCCATTTTAAAAGCTGAAGTTATACTTCATCCTTCATCTGTTATGCACATAAACGTTGTTAGAGAAAATATATCGTGAACGGGAAAACTAAAAATAAAGCACCAATGGTATATGGAGCTTACCACATATGACATTTCTTTCTTCTTGGGAATGGGCCGCCATAAAAAACTAAACATTGATGAGGCACTGCAAGCGTTTTCAGTTGACCTTATCTGTGGGGGGTTCCTCCTCCAAAGTAACCCAGATCGCTAATGAAGCTCATTGGTTGTTTCTTCTGATATAAATCTTCTGCAGTGAGGTCCTCCTCCTTGTATACATAAATATTATTCACCATAAGAAAGTGACTTTAATTCCAATACTTGGGGAACGAGTCAACACATTTTCTCTCCACTATATCTTCAACGTACAAGCCGTAACATGAGCTTCAAGCCGATGTAGGTGACCAAAAAGAATCGATCTTTAAAAGGTTAGAACTGAGTAAGAGGCCCAAAGCCGCGCACAGTCAGATTTAAATAGATTAACCCTCTGATCCATGTTCGAGTCGCCAAGCAACAACGACACTTAAAGAGGTGAAAGAAATTGATAAAAAAGGTTTTCCTTTCAGGTACTCACACCAATATTGGTATACCTTCACATACACTCAACTTACATGATGAAGTTGTGAAAGATCCATCGCCAAATGCTCCAGGATTTGTATCTCAAAGAAAATAAAGGGTAGGCGAATACCTAAAATTGAGAAAGTGCACTCATAAAAGGGAATGCCGCAACACCTAGTGCAAATTCTTTCATCCATAGTGGGAGTTAAAACACCCCAATCAAATGATGATCCAACTTCAAGAAAGGCTCCATTGAGGCTACCATTCTTGAAAAAGACAGAAATAATGAAAGAATAGACAGAGTCCACCCAAGGAGAAATATAATTCTCCTTGGATTTGTGAGCAATCTTTTGTGATTTTTTATCCATCACGCGATAAGTTTTCAGATGTAGGAAAACAAAGTGTCAGAGAAGAAAGTAACCACTAAATTGAGAAAATAACTCAAAGAAAGACAACGATGACTTTTCAAGAACTATACTCTAACATGCAAAAGAAAGTATACTTCATCGAACATGTCAAATCACTCGTATGCAATACTCAAGTGTTTCGGTTCCGAAGAGTCGTAACAATGAAACTTCCGAAAATATGTTTGAAGTAGGGAACATTAAATGCACAAACCCCAGAGGACCGAAACACTTTCTTTTTCTATTCCAGACATAAAAGTGAGAGTGGTCGATAACCGACTCTGAGGTAACAACCTCATGTCTTGCTGAGCACATATGCATGCTTTAGGGCTAACTGTTCTGGGATGATAATATCGACCTCGAGAAACCATCCTAAGAGACTCGTAATTCTCCTAGAACATTCCTAGCACACCAAAACTCTTCTAAAACTCTTCTCCTGATGATCACAAAGGATCTCAACTGCATTCACATTCAACGACTCTTCGCAATCCACTCCTAACAAATATTAAATTTGTTATTTTCCTTTATCTCTATATGTAGAGAAGACACCAAATTGAGGTTGGCGTTTTCAAACACAATTTCATTTCACTTTTCTTCCTTATATACCAACTGTAACATTGAAGTGTTAACTTTGTAGACGCTTTCTCCACCACCACCACTTCCAATCCTCACTCCTTCTAGATTGATTAATAAAAAAATAATTTATTTTTCTAAAATTAAATCAAATTTTAACAAAAATTTAATGTTAAATATATTTTTTAAATGTAAATGTAATATATATATATATATTTTTTATAGATCAGATATTGTATTTATACAACTGCAAATACTAATTCTTAAGTCAGAAGAACTATAAGAAATGGCAAAATTTCTCTCGTAAAATTTAATAATATTACATGTCTGTTGGAACTAGGGCTGGAAATGAGTCGAGTCGAGTCGAACTCACCTCAGCTCGACTCGACTCGTTAAGAATTGTTCGAATTCGAATTCGAGTTCGAGTTCGACACGAACTTTTTTTAAGCTCAAACTCGACTCGTTATAAGTTCACGAACAGTTCGGTTCGACTCGTTAGGTTCATCTCATTAGGTTCAGCTCACATGGTTCACGAACTTAAAAACTATTTTTTTTAAATATATATATTTTTTAGTATATTTGACATTTTAAATAAATTTATATATTTTAAATAAAATATTAAAATAAAATAAAAGTTATCATATTGAAATTTAACTTTATCTTCGAAATCTACTAATTCAAAACCTACACAACTTTCAAGAGATACATTTGAGAGTCTAATTTAAAAACTACTAAATTGAAGATTAAATTTGTCTAAGATTTGAAGTAAATATTTAAACCTAATCTTAAAGACAGTATAATTCTTTTCATATGTAATCGAGTTGACTCATGAACCTAACGAGTCGAACTATGTATAGTTCAAGTTCAGCTCATTTAGTTAACGAACTTAATTTTTCGCTCATACTCAACTCATTTGGTTCATGAACCTAGTTCAACGATTTAATTGTCGAGTCGAATTCCGAACTATCTTCGAATTGGTTTGGTTCATTGCCAGCCCTAGTTGGAACCAAAACCTCTGAGTAATTGAAAAATACTTGCACTATTTCAAAATTTAATCTAACATAAAATGCACCAGCTAGCTGTCACATATTACAATTGTCACATTAGCCTAAAAAAAGATAATAGATATAATTATATACCAAAATGAAAAAAAGATAATACATAAATACTATAACTTTTAAAATCGAAAAGTTAAAAATTAAAATTTTGTATTCAAAATCGTTGAGATCCAAATACAACTGTCAAAAGGAAATTAAAATCCAGTTAATAATAGAAAAAATTAAAAAGTATTTTCAAACCATAAACCTTTTCCAAAAAAAGTCTGGTCTAATTTGCCTTGCCATTTATGGCGGTAAACTCGCTTAACGGCTAAGACTTTCGATCCTTGGAATTCTCTCCTCTCTCCTCTATATTTTTCCCAACTCACTTACTCACTCTCCTTTTTCTCGTCAAAATTCCCAGAAAGAATATTTCCTCTTTATCTTTTTTCCACTTTCTTCCTAAATTATTACAATATTAAATTTATATCTATATATATTTCAAAATATTCATATCTCAGATTAATCTAACGACGACCATCAAATCTCAGAAACCAAACAGAATAACGGAACCTAACCCTAATCCAAATGATCATTTCTTTCCCCGCTCCTTCATTTCTCCATCTCCTTTGTCGTCGTTGTCTCTCTCTTCCATCAGATCCATAACTTTACAACCCTCTCCATCTAGATCTCGACTCACGCGCCTTCAACACTGGACCACGCGCCTGTAACCGCATCTATCATGGTCGTTAGCGGAGGCAAATCTTTGAAGCGCGTGAAGAAGAGAGTCACCGCCGATCACCACGATTTTTTTACGTTCCCCTCATCATCCCTCGCCGCCTCAGAAAACTTCTCCGTCAATCCATTCCGCTCCAACATCCGCTCGTTTCTCACGAAGTACGCGCTCCTCCCGCCGCCGTCGGCTCTGTTCCCCCACCTCCTGACGTGGCAGATCCTCTTCCGTGTAGGTGAGGTCACCGAAGGCTCTGAATCTGGCCCGGCTGTGGTGTGCCTCGACGTCGTGGAAGAGGACGTGGCCAGATCTAGATCCGTTTACTGCGATCAGTGTCGAGTTTTCGGTGAGTGGACTCGCCAGTTATTGACTCGGTTGTGTTTTACGTGAATCACTTTGGTTTCACCGTTTTTTACCGGTTTTTATCCGGTTGCCGGTTAATATGACCTACTTTTTAAAAACAAAAAACAACTACTCTGTGCTATAATAGGAGAAAATATGCAAATTAAAATCGAAAAAAAATTATTTTTAAATTCCTTGAAATTATCATGTTTATCATTATAATAATAATAATACTTTGGAATGATAATCATGGACATTATGATGTGTATGGCTTTAGTAATCACTTAATTGAGTACACAAACTATTAAATAAAATAACTGATAAGTTAGTGAACTGCGATGTACGGTGACGATAACATCGAGTGATATTAGGATTTAGAAAAAGAGGATAAAAATGGGATCCTCTTAAAAAATAATGGGATGTGGGTGGGTGGTAGGTCCTCTAAGAAGTGAGACACGTGGAAGTATAACGGAGTGCCACGTTTTCATTTTAAATCAAATTTGATGCGGTATGTTTTTTTAATGCCTTTGTTGCGTGACAGGTATGATTATTGTGTTATTGTCGTTACAAAATGCTGTTATTGTTCTGTGTCCAACTTTTCTTTCTTCATTTGGATTTTGCTTAGTCAGGACTGTCGTGTGAAACACGATATTGGCAACTACATGCCGTTTCTTGTTAATTATTGAATAGTAATAAATAAATAAAAAAATTAAAATAAAAAATAATAATAATAAAAAAATTACTATTAATAATAATGATAATAATAATAATTATTAATTTATTCGTGTTTCCATTTTATAATTCTTTTATTTTGCTTAATTTTTTTGATTGAATTATTTTGCTGAAATGTACAATTTTTTAAAGCATTCCCATTTTCTTATTTTTTTGGACTAATACTTGATTATGAAATATTTAGATAATTTATTATTAAATATTTAAAATTAGAGATTAATTGCTAATCAGTGCATCACAACCACTTATTATTAACCACTTGTTATTATTATTATAAACGGTTAAAATCAAAGTCAAACTGCAATTAAAATTTATAACTTACTGTATAAAATTTTACAAGTGTCTGTATACCAATTAAAATTTTAAAATTAACAAGAATGGAATGTTTTTTATATGTTTTTTTATTTAATATATATATATATATATATATATATATATATATATATATATATATATATATATATATATATATATATATATATATATATATATATATTAAATAACAAAACATATAAAAAACATTCCATACTTTTTTCCTTGGCAGTTTCCTTTTAATTTATTAAGTTGTTTATGAAATGTTATTACTAACATTTTTTCCTTTTAATTTAACTTATTATTCTAAACTTTTTAAACTTATAGGTTGGAGCGGCAACCCAGTGTGCGGGAAACGCTACCATTTTATAATCAAAGCTGATGGGGGATCAATTGGTGGATACCACAAACCGTGTATGTGTTGTGGAGACAGTTTGCATTTGTCAGAATCCAAGTGAGTAATTCTTTTGCCACAAGCAGGATTTTTCTCCATTTCGTGAAATTGGCATCTTTTGGATTTTCTTTTCTATTGATTGTTACTTTGTTTTACCAATCTCTAAAGAGGGGTGATGAATTATATGGCCAACTACCCCTCAATGGGGATGTAATTTTATATGAATAGGGAGCTAAGTTCAACACTAATATTTATCTTTACAATGAGGTCCAGGTTGCAATTAATTAATATTTTGTTGATGAAATATAAGAATGCGAGGTTTATTATGGGAGCTTATTTAGTAAAAAAGAATTAGGGGTGTTGGATTGGGAAAATGTGGTGCTTATGGGGTGATTTAATTTGAAAAGGCAGTAATGAATTATATGTTCTGAAATGAGACCCACTTCAAGAGTCTTGATAAAGGTGCAGGGTTGATGATATCATGATCATTTGATGTCCAACCTAAATAGTGCACTGTTGAGGATGCTCTTATCATGGGCGTTTGATACCCAACCTAAATATTAGAATAAGTTGCTCAACCCTAAATATTAGAATAAGTTGCTCAACCCTAAATATTAGAATAAGTTGTTGCTGTTTTCTTTCTTCTGTAGTCATTTACTATTACCAATTCACGCACTGTTTCCGTAATTGTAGATTCAAATATTGGAAACCAAATTCCGAAAATTAGTCATTCCTCATTCCCTATGTCAACATGTTGTAGCTACTGGATCATTTTCAAAGCTAATATGGCTGATTACTGAAATCAAATGTTTGTTAGTCTGGGGTATGGGTCTTTTGACCCTCTCTGATGGAACTCATGATTCATAATGGAAATCAGTTTGTATTGAGTATGAAAGTGGAGCAAAGCTAACTTACAGTGAAGAAAGAAAAGATAAACCAGAGTGTGACACACCAGCCAGAGAGCACAGTGCTCCTAACCACAGAGAAAACTCTCCTAACCAACTCTCTAACAATATTTCTGAATGCCTCCTCAATTTCCTCTCCTTCTCTGCATGAATGCACTTCATATTCTAACTAATTGGCCACCTCCGCAGTGACCTATTCAGCCCCTCTATTGAGCTAAGACCCAAATCAAGTATCCTATCACTCTTCCCCTCTCCCCCTTTATTCAATTTACTGCAAGTGATAGTCATTTAGTATGAAATTTCTCCTCATGCTACAAGAGAGGGTAGTATTCTTTTGTTTTTATCGATGCATGTCTGGATACCTTATATTTTATGCCAAAGAAAAAATCAAAGAATAATCTAAATGATGTTAGAAATAGCGTAGGTTGGATGTAGTACCTGATTTTACATTTTGGTTGATCTGTTATATTTTCAGGTGTAAGTCATGCAACCATGTAACAACAAGTGATGATGTGGAAGAATGGGTATACCACCAACTAGAGAACACAAGTCATCTTTTACATGGTGTAGTCCATGCAAATGGTTATGGGCACCTTCTCCGGGTCAATGGCAGAGAAGGGGGATCTAGATTTCTTTCTGGTTGCCATATTATGGATTTCTGGGATCGCCTATGCAAGACACTTGGAGTTAGGTTAGGATTCTTGATTGCAGTCACTAGTCAGTAACTGCTATTTTTTCTGACCTAATACTTCTGTTTAGTAGTGGAGTAATTTCTGATCTAATACTTTTAGTATGAAATTTATGAAGTTTATGATACCTGTCACTAACTTGCAGTGTCATATGAAAGATTGATCTAGAAGTTTTTCTTAAAAAACTAGTGATCGTTCAAACTAAACATGATTTCGCAGAAGAATATGACTATATTCAGTATATTGGACACGTAGGTTTCAAGTATATAAAAGAAGTACATTCACTTTCTTGAAATGGGTGAACATTGTTTAGGTTATTTCTATGTGTTATATATATGGACGTGGCTTCGAGTTAAACTCTTCTGTTTGTTCACATTTTTGTACATTGGCAGAAAAGTTAGTGTGATGGATGTTTCAAAGAAATATGGGCTAGAGTATCGCTTGCTCCATGCCATTATGAAGAGACATCCGTGGTATGGTGAGTGGGGATATAATTTTGGCTCTGGCAGCTATTGTCTTACAAAGGAAGCATATAAGTCGGCTGTTGACAACCTATCCAATCTACCCCTGTCCATCTTTCTCTCCCAGGAACAAAAGCCCCACTCACGTGTGCAGGATATGATCTTGTATTACCAGTCTTTGTCAGAGCATGAGCTCGTAAATATGAGGGACCTATTTTGTTTTTTGATGGGTTTGATGCACAGTGCTCGCAAGAATGCTTCTAAGTCTGATGATGTAACTTGCAAGAAGCGTCGGTTTGATGCTTCTGGATTATCAAGTTCTTGGGGGAAGAGTGACATTGAACGAGTGGAGGAAGCCATGCTCAGAGTGCTGCGTGCAGTTTCTGGGTCTAACTGGGTGAGCCGCCGTGCTCTTAGAGGTGCTGTTTGCAAGGTGGCGTCTCCAGAACTTCTTGATTATTGCCTTGCTGAACTGGGAGGGAAAGTGGTGTATGGTGGTGTTGTTAACAGCAGATGCAATCCTCAAACTGGAGTTGAGGAATTCAGGTTAGTCTTCAATTTGATTTGTTTGTTGTGTTTTATCTTCAATCCTTTTCAGTATAACTGTCTAAATAGATTCCATACGCGCTGGCTCAGTTTGAAGCCATGATGATATATATGCAACGTGTCAGTTTTTATGGTTTTGATAAGTTATTTAGCTATCACTTACATCACTCAGTTTTACACTTTTCAAGTCATAATCGATCTAAACTTATATTTGATCTTGTCATCATCATTCATGAGGCGAAGTTTTAGATATGCTCTTTGTATGTTTCTCGTAGGTTCTATTCAGGACCATGAATTCGATAGAAACCCATTTGCTTATATTATAATTTGATTTTAATATGATCAATAAATTTTTACATTTAATGAAAAAGTAACAAACAAAATAAGGGTTTGTTTTATGGACAGTACTGGCTCTATCTCAAATAGTTATATCCTTATCCTATTTGTCTCTATCCAATCAAGACCACCAAACAACCCTTAATAATAAGGCTTTATGTAATGTACTAATAATGTTGACGCATTCTTGATTTTCAAATAGAAATTATTTAGTTGTATAGTTTCTTTTAAATTCGATAATAAATTTAATTTTCATATATTATGTACCTTAATTTTATAAAATCAAATTAAAATATAGGTAAAGGAAATGGGTTGAAGATTGAGATGACAATTTTAGAGCCTACAATTCAGCTTTTACATGTCATATGACAGGATTTAATAGATAATAGATATACGTATGCATGTGACATTCTTGATATTACTATTAATACTTAATTTAGCCCTGAAATAGTGGTTGGATATTCTTCTCAAGCATTGTTATGTCTTATTGTTATTTGGAAGATTCTCTTCCCGATGCTTTTAATTCTTTGGAATGTCAATATCCTTATGTGATGTAAATCAGTTCTGATATTATTGTGTTCTATTTGTTTCAGAATTGATGCGACAAGCTTCGATGGATTTATGGCCAACGGTAATTCTTCAGGCTCAAAGTGCCCATCTGAAGAGAATCTCCTGCAATGCTTGAGATATTTATACGAGTCTTTGCTTCATCCACGGATGATGCTAAATTATGTCGATGAAGAGACAAGAACGCTTGCAATGAGCTCAGCTCAGAAGCTTCTAGACTGCAAGCAATTAATAAAAGATTATTGTACTGAGATGTTGCCAGTGTCAGATTTGTATAAAATACGCATCTCATGTCAGGTTGAGCTAGGTGATCAACCAGAAGATCCCGCAGCTAGAACTCCTCCTGAAATAATTGTGCTGCCCACAAATGCGACAGTATCTGACCTTAAGATTGAAGCAGCAAATGTTTTTCAAGACGTATATCTAATGTTTAGAAGATTTCAAGTTGACGAATTACTTGGCTACAGCGGTGTAGACGATTCCACCCAGGTCAAGAACTTGTTAAAACCACATGAAGTGGTTTGTATCCGAGGAAGATGCTCCGGGAAGAATGGGTTGAGCAAGTTTCGAATGGAACGGGGACTTGAGAGGTGGACTGTGGAGTGCAGCTGTGGGGCTAAGGATGATGATGGAGAGAGAATGATGGCTTGTGATACATGTGGAGTATGGCGGCACACCAGGTGTTCTGGCATTCCTGATACTGCTCCTGTTCCAGGACGTTTTGTTTGCCTGAGATGCCAAAATTGTGATTCAAAGCCTGTCTCTGGAGGACACATAAAAGATGAGACTGTGGCTAGTGTTAGTACCACTAGAAGTAGTTGCTTTGGCAATAGCGTGCCAGTGCTTTCTGATGTTCGTTAGGGCATAGATTAGATGTGTATATAAAGCTTTGTTTTTCTTTTATTTTGCTTTGGCCTGAAAGAACCTGTAGATAAAATATAGGCATTGGTGGGACAAGTCATGTCTTGTTCATATTTCAGGTTCTGCTTTTGTTTGTTTATTTTGTATATACAACAAACAGGTGGAGGGAAGGAAAAAAATCTAACTTAAATTGCTTTGAATAGTAACTTATCCGGTACTGTATTTGGGATATTTGTTAACATATTTGTGAGAATTGGATATGATCTTTGTGAGATCGAATAACATATAATAGAAAAATGGTTAGGTTAACAATTTATTTATTAGAAATTAGTCTATGTAGATTCATAATTATTAGAAATTAGTCTATGGTTTCTTGGATCCACTGAGTTCGGTTTTAAAGATCTAAGTGAATTATTAGTTATTGATAGAACTGGTTTTATTAATGAATTAGTTATTGATAGAGATCAAATATAAATGCATAGGAAGAGATTTTTCCCTTTATGTGTTAACAAGCTCATTCTCACATCACTCCCCTTCAAAAACAGTCCGTCTTCAATCTCCTAAAAGGGAAATAGACTCTTTTTACAAGACCTCGTCCTCCCATGTAGCATTGCCTACATTATCTAGGGGTGCACAAATTTGAACATGTTAATATTTAGAGGCAGAGCCAGCACCCGGTCAGGTAGGGTAGCTGCCCGGGCTCAACCGCCGACAAGAAAGAATCAAAGTCCATGTGTGTCTCAGTGTTCTCTTCCTCCGTAGAAACCCTAAATTCAGAACCGTAAATGGCTTGCGTGTTGCTTATGGTAAAGATTATTATATCTGCAGATTTCAGGTCCTTTCCGTTTCTTTACTACTTTTCCATATTCTTATTAATATAAATAGTCAATGATATTTTGTCAATTCCATTTTCTTAGACTATGTTTTTGATCCTGTTAGGAACCCGGAAAAATGGAAGCTGAGATAGCTGAGGCTGACACTGCATATGTGCTGAAAAATATCCTCACAACTTGCCAAACTCGCCAAACTGGTCCTCCGATTCTACCAAAGGGAAAGTATGGAATTGGATTCAACCCGGATGTACCAGACACTCTGCCATCTTTTTTATTTCAATGACCTTTCAGGTTAGGGAATCTTTTGGATATAAGGGAGAATGGGGATTCGGATTAGGGATTCATGAGCCCTGTTTGTTTTTACAGTTCATTTTTGATCTGACCTGATCAGAAGGGGATCACTGGATGACCACGCTCCGTTAGGCTGCTTCCTGTTCACCGGTGGGGAGGATGAGGAGGGGGTGTACCTGCAAGGCACTCCGATGCCAAAGTGAGAAAATGGGCAGAGTGACAGCAAATACAGAAAGTTGGTAGAGAATTGAATTACCTGGCCCTCTTGGGGAAGAGGGTATTTATAGAGAGACCCCAGCGCTGGGCCAACGGTCATTTGAGTTGGGCTGGATGGCCAGGCCCAATTCAAATGACTGCTAGGGCTTACGTGGCGTAGTGAAGACCGAAATGTGGTCTTTACCCTAGTCCAACTGCTCCGTGATCTCCGGAAAATGGGTTTGACATGCTCTTTCGGAGATGGGCAGTTGGTGGATGACGTGTCCCCACGGAGGGGAGCACGCGGAGAACGTTTGGAAGGCACGTTGTGCTGCCCGACGGGATGGGCACAGGTTCTGCCCACGGGATGGGCACCTGCCCGACGGGAGGAGGTTCTGCCCTGACGGGATGGGCACAGGTTCTGCCCGACAGGATGGGCACAGGTTCTGCCCACGGGGATGGGCACCTGCCCGACGTGAGGAGGTTCTGCCCTGACGGGATGGGCACAGGTTCTGCCCGACAGGATGTGCACAGGTTCTGCCCACGGGATGGGCACCTGCCCGACGTGAGGAGGTTCTGCCCTGACGGGATGGGCACAGGTTCTTCCCGACAAGATGGGCACAGGTTCTGCCCACGGGATGGGCACCTGCCCGACGTGAGGAGGTTCTGCCCTGACGGGATGGGCACAGGTTCTGCCCGACAGGATGGGCACCTGCCCGACGGGAGGAGGTTCTGCCCTGACGGGATGGGCACAGGTTCTGCCCGACAGGATGGGCACAGGTTCTGCCCACGGGATGGGCACAGGTTCTGCCCACGGGATGGGCACCTGCCCGACGTGAGGAGGTTCTGCCCTGACGGGATGGGCACAGGTTCTGCCCAACAGGATGGGCACAGGTTCTGCCCACGGGATGGGCACCTGCCCGACGGGAGGAGGTTCTGCCCATGGGTCCCTGCTCATCAGTGTGGTCCAATTGGGCCCAACCTCAGTGGGATTTTGGGCCTTCTCGATTGTGGGCTAAGCCTCGCCCCAGTTCAGAACAATTTTCATTCGTCCAATTTATCAATTTATGATGGGTATGTTGCAGGTTGTGGTTTACGAATCAGTATCGAATTGTTGTCGTTTCCACCGTTTTGCAACTTGCACACTAAGTGTTCGGTAAATTGCCTCAACCAAGTTTCTTTTCCTTTTTCTTTTTTGTTTCTTACAAAGCATGTGTTCGATAAATTACTAAGAATTTATATACTTCCCAGCTTAACAGTTTTGGGCTGTTGAGAACACAGGGCCTCATTAGAGGGAAATGGAGGGATGCTTATGATGGGAAAACCAGAAAGGTGTGTCACACAGCTGCTGTTATTTCCTCTGTTTTTGATGCTTTTAAATGTACACAACTTCACATTTTCATGCTATAATATCATGTGTTATGGACTATAAACGAAATGGGAGAGGATTAAGATATACTATCATAGATAACTTGATGTCTATGCATATGTTTTTGCATATTCAAATAGGTTTGCAAATCAAGTTTTGTTTGTTCAATTAGTTTTCATTAGTTTTATTCAAAACTGAGCTACTTTGTATATTCAATTAATTTTATGTTAGTTTAGCAATACTCACCGTGCAAAGCTGATATAAGTTGGATTTGAAGCTTATTGGATTAAAATATTTAGCACATTCTTAAGCTCATTGGATTAAAATATTTTGTTTGTCATTTATGGTAATCAAGCGCGTGTAGTTAATTTCTAGTTGTGTTATAGTTCATGATCATTTCAATTTTTCAATTATATTTTAAACACCATTTGCTTTGAAATTGGCTCTAAAGTATGTTACTTCTGTAATTGGACAGGGCTCTTGTCCAGCTTGCAAGACGCAGTTTGCAGGTTACAAGAACCAAATAGTTTGATGTTCGAGCTGTGGCAACATTGTGTGGCGACCTAAAAGTAAAGGAGATTTCCTTACAAGAGTTGGTAGAAATAACTCAGCATCTAAATTAGACCCTAACATCATTGATGTTGACTTTGAGGAGAAATGACGACATTATCAAGTTAGTGATTCTCATTCTGGACTTAAATCTACAAACATATGTGTGAGATGTTGGATCGAACTCTAGTGTTGTCGAAGTCTGTTCGCAAGTAATGCGTATTGTAGTCGAAGTTTGTTCTAACATGCATTAGTAAATATTGCTAGGGTTGTTAGCATGTTGAATTGGGCCTTGCTTGTAAGCCCAATTATTTAAGTTAGCCTGTACCCTAAGTTAGCTTGTAATGTGTAATTGTTAAAAAGCCCATTAGGTTAGTGTGCTATTTTATTATAAATAGGATGCTAGTTTCTCAATCTTGGCATAAGGAAAAATAGGAAGATAAAGTCCTAATTTCAAGGGAGAGAGGTTATTTTGTTATTCTTGTATACTTGTAATCTTGTTCTAAGAGAAAGGAAAGAATAGCAGTTTAATAACCAATCCTTGTTGTTCCTTGTTGTTTTACCTTGTCTTCTTTATTAACCCTAACCCTTGTGAGTTTCTTGATTATTAAGAAACTGTTTATACTTTGTTTAAAGGTATCTGATTCACAATAAACTGGTGCCGTGAGCGTGGAGAAGATGCCTTCAACAAAGTATGAGATTGAAAAGTTCACCAGAGTGAACGACTTCGGTCTGTGGCGCTTGAAGATGAAAGCCCTATTGGCTCAGCAGGGCTGTTTGGAAGCGTTGAAGGATGAGGCAGCCATGGACGCTGCGTTAACGGCAAAAGAAAAGACGGGCATGATCGAGAAAGCCCACAGCGCAATATTGTTGAGCCTTGGTGATAAGGTTCTTCGACAGGTATCAAAGGAGACTACAACATCGGGATTATGAGTGAAATTTGAAAGTTTGTACATGACTAAATCTCTGGTGAATCGACTCTACCTGAAGCAAGCTTTATATTCATTCAAGATGAGTGAAGACAAAGTGTTGGATGAGCAGTTGGATATGTTCAACAAGATGATTCTTGATCTTGAAAATATTGATGTGAAGATCGATGATGAAGATCTAACACTGTTGCTGTTGTGTGCTTTGCCCAGAACACATGCTCACTTCAAAGAAACTCTCTTGTATGTGTCGCTACTGCGAAAATAAGGTGCCGGCAAGACAGAAGAGTCGCCACCTTTCGTTATTTATCCCTCAGAACGAGAAAGGAAACGATCGGGAAAAACCTGACGAAAAGGTATAAGACAAGGTCATCGCAACCATTGTCTGGATTCGGGAGTCGATTACGCAAGGGGAAGGTATTAGCACCCCTCACGTCCATCGTACTCGATGGGATCCACGCTTGTTTGTTTATCTGAAGGGTTTGTTACATCTATCTACGCTAAAGGTCTGGTCTGAAAAGAAAAGAAAATGACTCGGCAAAGCGTCGCACTTTATGCCTACGTATTCCCGTCTGGAACGAGAAATCAGAGTCAACGTAGTTAGCCTAACTACGGGTTACGGGAAAGGTTGCTCGTTGAGATATCGCATCTCATGCCTACGTACTTTCACACAGCGCGAAAGATCAGAGCAAACGTAGTTCGGGCTACGAAGAACACAGGTTTGTTCAACATCTTTTATCCAAGTAAAGTTAACAATCAGTTCCAGCAGTTGGTGTTTGCAGCTCGACCTTTGGAGACTTAGGCGTTACCGTTTGTGATAGAACCGAAAGTTAACAG